TTCTTCTGGCAATCTAATATACCTCTTGGCTTTGTCTTTATATTTTCTTTTTTTCATGTTTCCTTGGTGAGTTCCTCTATCCCTCGCTTCAGATATTATCCACTAATTTTCTCCTCTCCATCCTGTATCTCCAAGATACTTTAAAATGTATAAGTTTATATATTTTTATGCTAATAAACATGTCTTCCTTTACACAAGGAATTTGTCATCAAATATTTTCTTTAGAGGGCCACATATGTTAGGTTTTGCAGGCCACATAGACTCTTACAACATGCACTCAACTCTGAGTTGTGAAAACAGCTATAGAATAGATGCAAATAAGTGGCAGTTGTTAGAGTCCCCCAAAATTTACTACTAAAACAGGTTTCTGCAATCACTCTGGATAACAGTTTGGCTGTTCCTCAAAATGTTGAACATAAAGCCTCCAGCAATTTTACTTCTAAGAGCAATGAAAACAAATGTCAATACATGAACTTGTACGTGAATATTCACAGAAGCATTATTAACAGTCAAAGATTAAAACAATTCAAATACCCATTGTATTCATACAATAGAATATTATTTAGCAATAAAAAGGAACTAAGTATTGAAAAGTACTATAACATGAACTTTGAAAACATTATGCTAAGTGAAAGATGCCAGACCAAAAAAAAACCCAACAAAACCCTACATCATCTATGAATCTATTATAGGAAGTATGCAGAATTGACAACTCTATATTAAGAGAAAGTTGATCAGTAGTTACCTAGGGCTTGGGAAGCAAAGAATAGTAGTGACAGCTAGCTAGTTGGTATGAGGCTTCTTTTTGCAATGATGAAAATGCTTTAAAATTAGATTAGACTGCTATACAACTATAGAAAAATGCTAATTACCATTAAACTGTACAATTTGAACAGATGAGCTGTTTAAATTTTCTCTTGATGAAGCTGTTAAGAAAACAGATTAAAATGGAAAATAAGCAGGGGAGTAGCCTGAAGGGTCATCATTTATAACTGTAACTTCGTATTTCAAGTATCCTAACATATTCAGTTATTTGTATTTTATTTTATTTAAATTGCTTTTCTGGATTGAATTAATTTTCCTTGTTGATTTTGAGGGCTATCTTGGTTATTTTCCTTTCGGGATTTGGAACTATTATTTTGAGCAGCAAGCATTTGTTTCTTTGCATCTGTTTTTCTGTGCATCCCTCTGGCCATCTTTTCTTGTCTGATGGTTTGTGGTTGCCTTCACTTAGTCCTCCTATGACTTCTCCCAAAAACGAACAGTTGATGTTGGGGTCACCTGTCCCTATTTGATGCATGGATATGTCACATCCAGTCTGTGAACTTCAGGGGCTTGGCCCAGATACTTAATGAAATGCTTTTTTGTTTTCCCCATAGACCCTGAGCTTCCTGAAAGCCAAATCACAGGCTACCATAACAGCTGTTTCTCAGACTTCTTTCATGCTGGTGCTATTGTTTCAGTTTACTTGCCGCTGGTAGTACATTTTAATTCTCAATTTCCCCACCACAGGGATTATGACGCTTGTTTGTGTATCTAGAAGACACAACTTCGATGTCTCTGTCCCAGTTACCAGCTTGAGCTCCTATTCTACTTCTCATTCCAGAAACGTGTGTTATCTTTTTGGTGTTCTCTTGTATCTTGTCTTTAACTACAGTGTATGGGGCAGGAAAGTGGGTAGAACATGAATGGAGAGTGCCATTCTGACTGAGTCTCTTTCAAGAAAATGCAATTTTAGCAGAAAGTTTCAGAGTATCAGATGCTGCATAGTAGAATAGAAAATTTTTTTCCTGTAAGTTTTCAAGGTACATGGAGCATAGTGAAGTGGAGAAGAGTTACAACTGGTTGTAAATATAAAAGAACAGATGAGGGGACAAATCTGAACACATAATTTGAGGAATCCTAGAAAGCAAGTCCTAATGATGTAACTTTCAAAGGGACATCCAAACAAGTCAATAAAATTCTCTAATTTCTACTTTTGATGCTGTAATAGACTGTTCTTGCTATTATATTTAGCTTGATTGTTCATTGCTAAAGATTTTGGGTGCATCAAGTGTTATTAAAATATTAATTTATTCAAGAACTATTTATCATATTACTACAATTCACAAAACACACTGCAAAGCCCTGGTGACACAGATATGAATAATAAATGTTTCTTATAATAATAAGGAATTCATCATTTATTAAGGAAACACAAAGTTACCATTTCACTGTAAGATAAATGCTATAAAGGCTATAGGCACAACATGATTTAAAAGTAAAGTGAAGGGGTAAAGGAATGAGTAATTTCTATTTGGTGTGGTTCTAGAAAGCTTTACAGAAGAAATACCACCTTGGAGGCTTCACAATTTCTATGAGTGAGCAGTTATCTTGATGAACTAGGGACTAGGGGAACTTATTTGCGTTATCCAGCATACCATTTTAACGTGGACTACAGATTTAGTGTGGACAACTTTGAGGAGCTAACAAGGAAAGGGGGAGAAGTCCCACTTCCCCGTCTTATCCACATTTCCTCATTTCGCTTACTAAGCACATGGGTTTTCATCTACTTAGGACGAGCAGTTCAAAGCAGAGGGTTCCTTGGATAAGCAAACATGACAGTGCCAGGCAATTTTAGGAAACAGTAAACTGACTGGCGTAGGCAGAATGCAAGATAAATAGTAACTCACTTGGAGAAGAAAAGATGGCCTACCTGTCATACAAATTGTATTGTATTATAGACTAAAGAGGATGGACTTTTCTTTGGACAATGAAAGACTTTCTGAATGCCTTAATGATGGAGTGAGAGGATCTATTTTGACAAGTTTTTGAAATATAGACATCTGGGACAATGAAAAAGAGGAAAAAGACTAGAACTAGTGACCAGTCAGGAAAACACTGTATGAGGCCAAGTATGAGATAATGACTATTAGATTGACTTGTCATGTAGCCAAGAGAATTAGAAATTCACACTTCTTTCAAGAAGTTTGAAATGCTACAAAAGAACAGTACTTCTATTAATATTTTTTTAGAAGATTTATTTGTGCATATAGAACTGGGGTACAGGCCAGAGGCTCAGGGGTGGTAAGAAGCTTCACCAGAGACAGAGTGGGGAGCAGAACAGGTAGATCTACGAATTACACTGCTGAGGGGAGCAGCGGGCGGGTCAGGAGAGGTGTGCCGCGCCATGTGGTCACCTCCAGGGCAGGGGGGAATCGAACTCATATGGAAGTGGCTTTAAATTCTCAGTGCTGTGTTTTAACCCGCTGTGCCACCAGGGAGGGCCACTTCTATTAATATTTATCTTTGCAAGAGATTTTTCTAGTTGAGTACAAGTATGCTGGAGTTTTAACATTAAGCTTAATGCTTGAGGGTATTGTTTTATTTACAGTATTCCCGATGGTCAAGTGGCACAGGGATAATTTAAGCATGAAAAGCATTAACTGACGAGGTCAGGCCCTATCACTGTTAGGTGACATGTAAACACTAGCGCTTTTATATTATAGAGGAAACAAAACAATATTTTGTGGGAGAAATAAACTTCAAATGAGAGTATGTATTTTTAATAAAATGAATCCCAAGTTGAATAAAAGCATATATTCTAAATAAATTCTATGTTCCATGAAAAAACTGAACCTCTCCAGTGAATACTGTTTTTTTTTAATGGAAGAGTTTAAGATTAAACAATCTTAAATACTATTTCTGACAACAAAATAATTGCATGCTAAATGGGAATAGAGAAGAGCTAGTTAGATACAGCTAGCTTAACGACCCCATAAACTAATACGAAACAGACCCTATTTGCACAAATAGGAAAAATGGTTTTGCATCTTCCCTGATCTAGTACTGGAACTAGAAGGTTTTCTTACAATAGAGTGGCTGCTTTTATTTTCCTGTAAAGGACAATATCTGCTGAGCCCATAATAATGTATTAGATAATCTTCTAGGGACTTTACATGTGGGATGTTTTTTAAATTCTGAAGAACAATGAAAATGTAAAGAAACCCTCTGATTCATTTGACTTCATATTCTAATAGTCAAAACCCCCCCAACCCCTTATTTGACTGCTCAAGAGGGACCTCCCCCATTCATAAGATTCTCCCTAATATCCCAGTCACCGACTACATTTTAGAGTTTTCTGTATGTAAGTATGTGACTATTGTTTCCAGTCAAGAAAATTCCTAACAGACTCTAATCTAACAACAAAAATAAGAATCAGATCATAAAAACCTGTGCTAAGTATGATTCAAAGGGAAAAAATGAGCTGCAGTAAAAGCCAATTTAGGCTGGAACGACCTGCACTGTTAAGTAACCAGACATGTGTAGCCACTTATGAAACTGTCTGATCACATATGTTTTTAAACATCTGTCAGCACAATCAGAACTTCACATGCAAAACAGAGCACTCACAAGTGTTATGGAGATATGTTTGCGATGAAGTGAGTAGATTTCACAGTGAACACAGGGTGTTAATGCTTTAGTTGAAGAAAGCCTGGGGAAGGAGCTCCCAAAGACTGTGAGTCATTTACTTGAACATGAAGTTTTGGTAAAGATTTCTTATTTATTTATGCATATAAGAACTGGGGTATAGGCCAGAGGTGCCGGGGGTGACAGAGTGGGGAGCCGAAAAGGCAGATGTACTAAAATAAACTGCTGAGGGGAGCAGTGGGAGAGACAGGAGGGGTCTGCTGAACCATGTGGGTCAGCTCCCTGGCCGGGGATCAAATTCGTGCTGCAGTGGCTGCAGATCGCTTTACAGTGTAAAGACTCAAGCCTTTGTGCCACGAGAGAGGCCTGAATATTAATGTTTTAAGGACATAACTACAACTAGCAATCAAGCCTACAGTGCCCTGAAGAAATAGAGGTCAGGAAGTAGTAAAATGCAGGAGAAATTAGAAAATTACAGCTTAATTTATGGCTTCAGAACTGAAGCTAAGTTCGTCACTAAGTTGTGACGAAAAATATTCAGTGACATTTCCCAATCCCAAAGTTCCTATCTCTCAAGTGGAAATACAAACCTGCAGCATTTGTTCTTCCTCTGAAGACATCATCATACGCTTTCCACTGGGGCTTCATCTGGTAGGCGTGGATGAACACCACAAACACCACCACCAAGCACATTAAAGGAGCAAGGGCTGCTGTGAACAGAGCTGCGTAGATGTTTGGAATGAAACACCTGGAAGAGAGAGGAACAGCTAAGACACTGTGTTTCTAATTTGTAATTTCAGAAAGTCTTGGATCACTGCTTTGTATTAGCTCTTGGGATCTACATGTTGACAGATTTTTGGTTTGGCAATGGAAAGCCTTGTTTGAGTAGAGGCTACACAATTCAATCTAACCCACAGCTCCACAAAGGTTCCATGAGACACTAATCTCCTGAGAGGCTCAGAAAACACCAAAAAGTTTTGGCCAAATACATTCAAGAAGGGCACACTTGCTTTTCAATCTCCATCTTCTTTGCTCATGCGTCCACATTTCTTGGGGAATGCATGAGAGAAGGTATTGTTTAAGATAAATTTGAAGATTCTCAAGGTCAACTCTGATTCTTCACAATTGTTTTTGAGGAGACAATTTTTGTCATTCTTATACATTTTCCCAGAAAACATTCATTTTAATCCCAAATATGATTTTTCATTTAGGAGCTATGCTGCACAATTCTATCTATAATTACTGTGTGATTTTAGAACAATGAGGTCCAAGGTAAACAGGCATTATTTATTTTGGGAATGTGTAAATTCTACAGAAAATTATTTTGGAGATGTAGTAGGAAATTTTAATTCACGGGTCATACAATACTCTTGTTTTTTACATAAAGTGGGGGACTCACAAATAATTTCTTAAATATCTGAAACTGTTACTGAAGTATTACTAAAAGGTTATACTACCCTCAACTTACAAGGTTATCATACTTTCTTAATTACAAGAAAATGTAATAGTGAGTGTTCCTTTTCAAATATTTCTCCCCAACTTAAGAATCTGAAACATATCTGTAAACCTAGACTGCACTATCACCACATAGAATGATCCTGAATAAAACTCAGGGCATAAACTGTTTAGGCCTCATGCCGGCAAGCACAGGACATGTTCAGTATGGACTTGGGCAGATGGAGAGTCCTGCAGCCCTTGGTGGTTTCTTCAGGCTTTCAGGCTCTCAAGGAACTAGGTTGGTATGCAGGAGGCAGGCACAGGCTTGGCTGGGGTGGAGCTGGGAGGCAGCTAACAAGCCTTCCAGTCCCCCAGAACCCGTAGCTTTCTCTGGGTTCTCTCTCACGCGTCCGCTCATGGTCTCACCTCTTCTGCAGTCAGGCCGCTTCTCACTGCCCCCTCTGCCGCTGCTTTTAGCCCACCCCTAATCTCAGGTGTGCACACTCCCGCATGCCCACACCCACCCTCCAGGCATCCACAATCAGGCCCACGGGGCCATGCCCAAGCTCCCAAGCTCCTCCTGCATCAACACGATCAAGGCCGCAGGTGACAGCCACAGAAGCATAAAAAACCTGATTAATTCATTTACCCTATAGGAGGTAACGTCAATATTCAAAATGTAGGTAGTCAAGGGAAACACACACTATTAAATTTGGGAAAACAGTGCCTTAGTTTTATATTTTAAAAGAGACACATTATTTAAAGCCTTGCTCAGGAACTAGTTCTAATTAACATGATCTACTAAATGTATTCCTCATGTAAGCAAGAAGTATTTCCACAAATATTTCAATACACACTCTGTATCTGCAAAGCTATGTCAAAATGATATTCCCTGACTTGGAGGAATAAATTTGGATGGCATGAAGCCTGAATCCCTTCCTGTGTACTTATCTGTATATGGCCACTATCTTCCAGGTAAAATGCACATGATTAGATATAACAGGCAGTCATTAATGACCTTGAATGTTTTTCTGATTTAAACTAGTGGTCATGGCTGCTAACTCAGTTTTATGTGCATTGGCTTTAGCCAATTTCCTTTTGTTTCCATCCAGATTTTATATTCACTGACATAGACTGCCCTATGATGCTTAGGCAGAGACTGATAAAGGGACAGTCTTCACTGCTCATTTCATCTTAAAAATGTCACCACAGGGCCCTCCCTGGTGGCGCAGCAGGTTAAAGCACTGCACTAAGAAGCTTAAGCCACTTTCTCATGAGTTCGATCCCTGCCTGCCCCGGAGGAGATCCACATGGCGTGGCAGACCTCTCCTGACCCGCCTGCTGCTCCCCTCAGCAGTGTACTTCGTCGATCTGCCTGTTCTGCTCCCTGCTCTGTCCCTGGTGAATCCTCTCACCCTCCGCATTTCTGGCCTGAACCCTAGTTCTGTATGAATAAATAAATAAATCTTTAAAAAAAAAGTCATCATAATTGAAATTCAAGCATCAAAATGGGGCTAATTAGTGAATCGGTTGTGAGTTGCTCTAGGAGTAGGAAACATTTTGTACATCGTGCTACAGTGTAGATCTGACTCTCCCAACAACCACACTTTCCAGTGGCTGAACACACGTGGTTTTCACTTCTCTATTTAAAGTGTCTCCCCCCAAATTTCCTTTCACTTTAGAAGACAAACTTTGGGAGCAGAATCCCAACTAATGGTGCACCATTCTGGTTAAAAAATAAACTGAAATGTGGACCTCTAGCAATTAGAATTAACCAGTCATGTCAGCGGTGGCATTGTGGAAGGGACTGGAGTTTACTCCTAACACACCTCCTTTGCAGTTCTCCCAGCTGGTAGGATGAAGTCTTGGCCATCCTCGCTTATTCTTTCAGAAAGCAGAGCAGGAAAACGAACCTATCCTGAAGTTACCTCTTTTCCATTCTGTTTCTTCACAGTCCTACAAAACAGTCCTCTCAAAAGTCGAGCCCCAAATGGCCAGATCATTAACAAAGCATTGACTCCATAGCACACTGAACGTGTCGGCAACCCCTCTTGAGTTCCTCGCTAGCTCAGTCCTACAGGGCCCTCCCCGTGTCCACTCTTGAGGACATCTCTGTCTCCCTCCAATAAAAACTATGTGCCTCCACTCTTAGGGATTAGAGGCCCAGGTGACTCTTCTGAAAACCTATTATATGCAAATGAGACAGGTTCACAAGGGTAACCCACTCATGTCACTCAGCCCTACTCATATCACTCAGCCCATGAAAAGCAGCTAGGTGTGTCTCTCCCCATCCCCAAGTTACATCTCACCTATGAATACCTTAGTTGCTTTATATGCTCCTCACTTAACCATTCTTTGGCAACAGTGAGGCATTATTTAATTTCCTGAACCATATTATCTGAATAAGATTTTTAACTGGTGTAGAATAAAACTTTTGACATATATTTTAAAGACCCCAAGATAAATGAACTATTTTCTACCATAAAATAATAAAAGCCATGCCAATCAGAATTTCCTTCAGACTAAGTAAAATGTGCAATCCACCCAGGTAGTTGGAGGATTGGATCGAGTTCATGTGAAGTGAGAGTTAGGAAACTGTGACTATCATGTTAGGAATAGTTTCTGAAATAGGTTGGGAACAAATTCTTGGAAAAACTGAATGTAATGTAAGAAATGAGTCGACTGAACATGCATACAAGGCTGTGGAAGCAGTTGATTAACGTGCTGGCAACTATTGCTTCAAGAATAGATCTGGCAGTTACCAGAAAAGGAAACAAAGGACATGTGGATTTGTTTTCACTAAATGGGAGAGGAAAGTGTGTTCTTGTAATTACCAGCTCATCTGACTTCCAAGTACTCTGGTGACCCTGCTCTCATTTGGTGCTGAATACTCGTTTGGGTTCTTGTAATCACATGAGTAGTTTTTGCTGTTCTCTTTGAAACATTCACGAGTAAATTTTCTTTCTTATTATATTCACAGACATTCCTAATTTATTTTCAAATTCTGTCAGTGCTTCATCCTCCTGTCTATTTTCAGTCAGCTGAAACAAGCAGAGGCTGTTTCATTACCTTCAGTTTTTCCTCTTCCAAGTCTACCCAGGGAGTAATTGCAAAACTTTATGTCACTTTCTAATTTAGAAAGATTATTACCTCCCCTAGGTAGTACTTTATACTTGGGAAGTATTTGCACTTGCATTACCTAACTTGATTTTGAAAAGTTTTATGTGGTTGGCATGGGGTATTTTGGTTTCTTTACTCCTAGATGCAAGCAGCTCAAGAAAGGCTCAGAAGAAAAAAAGTTTAGAAGAGACACGGCCCCCACTTATAACTGCTGAAAATATTGGAGAGGGCACTTGGGAACTCCCTGTACTTGTGACTGTGATTTGAGCAGATTTAAATTATATTTAAAGAACGAGTTGACCTTGTTTAACTGGAGGACTTGAAGAAATACAGGCAACTGATATCTGGATTACATCTGGATTATATAGGATGACAAGGACCTAAGTAATGAAAGAATAATGCCTGCTTCCATGCTCTTTTTTGCAAGTACTTCTCAGTAAGACACTGATCACAGCTATGATTCACAGACTTCTGTGCCAACCGCCCTAAAATTTATCTTAAGATTTCTTTGATGATGGCATCTACATCTATGGCTATATTTATTGCTTTACCCAATATTTTCTTCTCCACATGGAAACTCATGGTGATGGCATATTTGATCTGGAGAGTAAAGGAGATGATGTGGTAGATTGCTTTTATAAAATTTACATACAGCTGAATCAATAATTGATCCTTTATTATAAACTGATTTTTTTTGGGGTAGAACAAAACAATGTATCTTTTCCCTGAATCCTTTTAGTTGAAGATTAAGATATTTTTTATTATGTAGATGCTTAATCATTTATAAATTAAATCTAAGTCAGTATGTATGATCCAATGTTCCTTTCTTTTTGCCCAATTTACTTTCTTTCCAGAGATGTTTTATTTAGTACTTTTTTACTCACTTGTAAATTTATCTATGTAAGTATACCTGTATTTCTGTATATGTATATATTTTAAACTATGATTATTATTTATTTTTACACCACTGTTACAGGTTCAACCTATACAAATATGTTGTCACACTACACCAATTACCAAACTACTGATAATCTTCCACCTTTGTTCCCATCACGCTCCATTCAGGTCGCCTCAGTTCTGTAATAAGATTTCAGAGGTTCCTCTTGGCTTAGTTTTTTTTTTTTTCTGTTCCTTTACTTTGTTTTTCATATTGCACATGAGTGAAATCAACTGGTATTTGTCTTTCTCCTT